TTTTTTTTTTTTTTGGCTTGGCGTTCATTTATTGAGGAAAGAATTTGCTTTATTTATTTATTTTTTTAGAGACACACTGCTAAAATGCTTTCAGCCTTAAATAGTGTTTTATGAGGGTTCTTTTTAATCCTATGATACCCTGTTCACCATTTAAATAAAGTAAAATAGAAATCACAACTTTTCTGAGATCCTCAGATTCAGTATCCTAGCATTAGGATAAGACATTGTAAAAACAAGGTTTGATATTTTGTTCTTCAATAATTAAAGGTTTACACGAAGCAGCTGTAAGTAATGATCATCATAAAGCTGCCCCTGTTTCTTGAGCATTGTAGGGTTTGTGTTCCAATTTTGTTTGCTGACTTTATAACTACAGTATATTGAGTTAGATTAAGCGGTTTCAGTGGGAACCGCTGCATCACTAATTTATGGTCCGTGCCTTTATTAGGCTGCACAAATTGCAGTTTAAGGGGGTTTTAAGTAATCTATGACATCAATTGACTGTTACTTTAGAGCAACAGCAGCTAAGCCCCTCCTGTCCATTTGAAATAAGCATGCTTGTAATTGACACAATCCATCTGGTCACGTTTTCACACGTGACAACTTGGAGGAAATTAGAAGAGAGCTACAGGAAAGTCTCTTGAGGTTATAAGAAAAAGCTTTACTTCATCAAAAGTATTCCTGGTTGAAAGCTTTGGAGCATTTTCATTTTGCTCCCTGGTAGATATTCAAAACATTTGTTGATGTTGAACAAGTGAAGATAATTGAACACATTAAATCTCTCTGCTTTAATGCAGACCAGAGTGAATTGTAAATGTTCTGCAGTTACATGGCACTTTTAAATGTTAGCCGTGTTCTACAAAGCCCTTGACATTATGCTTCTTTTCCACTCATTCACATGCTTACGCCAATAGTAACAGAGCTGCCACGAGTGCTGCTCACCACTGGGAGAAACTGCAGGATCGTGGTCTTGCTCAGTGGTACTTGAGCACATGAAAGGGGCAGGGTATCAAACTGCTAACACTGCAATTAGCGGTTAGCTTGTTCTACAGCCTTTATATTTCATATATTTGCAATGCAGACAAAATACACATGGCCCCATAAATCACAGAGTCCAACCTCATACCTCAACCTTTGGATGGTGTCACCTTGGACTCTACTGCTACTCCAGTACTGCCATTTTGGACCAGGTTATGTCCTTTAGCTTACACACTAAACAAACTACTACTACTACTGCTTTCCCCGAGTCTGTGCAGGGCTGACAAAATATTGTTTGTATTTGACTGACACTGAAAAAACTAGTGCATGGATTTGCTTCCAGGGTGGACACACAGAGTAATTTCATACTGTCAAGTTGTCCTAAAAACTCCTTGCAGCAAGAGTTCTGACAAGGCACTCAAAAAATAGATATCTCTTCTCCAGTATTAGCCTCAGTGGCTTCAATTTTAATCCAGAATGGAATTTAAAATCATCTTCACATGCAAAGTGCTGAATGATTAGGCCCCGTCATATCTTAAAGAGTTCATATTACCTCATTATCCCCATTTGGGAGACAGACACCCTCTCTACTTTTAAGATTAGACTTAAAACGTCCCTTTTTGATAAAGCTTATAATTAGGGTTGGAACCTGATTAATTTCTTGTGATGTTACAGGCTCAAGCTTCTGGCGGACCTCCTATGATACACGGAGCAGTTCTCCACGTCCCTCTTTTCATGTCCTATTTGTTTTCATACCACATCAACTTTTGTCTGCTCTCTTCCTTAGCTAACTATAGCCATAGCCTAGTCACCTGACGTTCCCCTCACCCTCCAACCAGTTGCACTAGATGTCTGCTACTCCTTGAGTCGGCTTCTACCTGAAGTTTCTTCTTTAAAGGAAGTTCTTTCTCCCGACTGTTGCCAAGCCATTGCAATTTATTTCCAATATATTAAACTATTGTAAACTGCATTCTTATACTCATGGCAAGCTGTGAGTGCCATGATAAGCTCTGGTTTTATTGTGTAGTTTTGAAAGAAAACGGTGGATTGGTTGAAGATCTTGTCATAAGACATTGAGTCAAAAGTTTTATAGGTGACTATGCATTAGTTTAAATGATATCCAACTGCATTTCCCTGTCTTGGATAGATTCAGATAGCAATGTCAGCCTTTGCAACTATACCAAAAGATTGCTCAATTTACTAATATCCCACTCTTTAATGTAATGCTGCAGTTATCATAAGTACTAATCAATATAACTGCCTGTATAACTATTTTATGGCCAGTTATGTCAGGTCATATAAATGCATTTTTAGATCCACTAAATGGAGCTTATGCGTATGTTCAATAAAAAGAATCTGTATTCATTCATCTGCCTGGATTCCTGGGTGTTCAGGCTGCTAATCTATTCTTTACATCACTTCCACTTCCCCACACTGTCAGACTTGTTGTCTGATCCAATCAATTTCTTGCCCACCTTCTGCAAGTCAATCCACCTCTTTTCTATGTGCTTTAAATCTCAGTGCTCTTCTGTCATTCTGCAATAGTCTCATTAGTGCAACCCACCTAGAGATCTTCCTTCACCTGCTTCATCTTCGACATCACCAGCATTTTGACTCCGGCAGTCCTGTCCTGTTTCCTCCCATTATTAGACTCCACTCTGCAATGTAGCTTCATCAGATTTTAATCTCAGAATAGTTTATTACTCAAACTTTGTATATCAATGAACCATTTTGACTTCCTCCAAACGATTCCTTCTTCTCAGACGCTGTTCTTGTATTACTGATCAGTGAGATCATTTTCCTTTTTATTGTATAAAGGTGTGTCTTTAGAGGTGAATAAATACTGAGTTTACCACACTCAGTGTTTGCTGCCCGGGCGCTGCATTGGTGGCTGCCCACTGCTTCACTGGGTGAATGGGTTAAATGCAGAGGAGCAATTTCCCTATGGGGACTAACACATACACATTACATTACATCAGTGTCACTGCCTCTGACTTAGTGCCAGCAGGGATAGGATGGATGGATGGATGGGATTTAATTGTCTCTTTGGATAGGCAAAACTATGATACAGCATCCAATAAAATCTCAAATAAGATATATTTCTTTATTTTATCAAACATGTCACATTGTTTTTAACTTATTATTATATATCTGTTGTCGGCGGGATGTCTGCCTTTCCTTTATTTTAATAATAAAGTAAATAAGATGCCTGACGCTGCATTATGATCATCTGTTAGCATATTTAGTACGAGTTTATGCAACCTGCTTTTCTTCATATGCCTTTTTAGCTGATTAGCACCTCTTGTGCTCCTCTTGTTTGCACAGCTGACACCTGAGGTCTGTGGATTTCATGTCTCTGATGCTTTGACAGATGGAATCGCTAATCTGATCTGACACCTAAAATTGACAGTCACAACATTAATGTGCTTCCCATGAAAATCAGGTGCAAATTAAACAGGAGTAAAGTATATTTCCCTTCTTTTTTTTTTGATTTGTATTTTTAAATTTTGAAGATCCTGTTATGATTCTTACAAAATGCTGGAAATATTATTCATGTCATTCAAGAATCTATCTATCTATCTATCTATCTATCTATCTATCTATCTATCTATCTATCTATCTATCTATCTATCTATCTATCTCATTGTTGCTATGAGTGTAATTAATGATGAGCAGTTATGTTGCCATGTGAGTAAGGCAGAAAGGTTCTTTTCGTTTACTAAACTGTCCACCAGGAGGCAGTATAGCTACACACTTGACTTCAGCTTTCACTCTTGAATCCCCCATAAATGTTTTGGTAGATGAAATTGGGATTCCACTGAGTCTCTGTTGCACACACCAGGGAAAGAAGATATCTGTAAATAGCAGCTGGGTGCCTTATTTATTTATATATCCCCCCCCAAGAAACCCCAACTCCCCCTGCCCCCCACCCCTTAGTTGCTTTAGGCGACTGTCAGCCTCCTGTTCACCAGCC